TGACAAATTTCGCGTTTCCAATGTTGTCAATGCAGTCATCGATTCTAGGTATTGGATATGAATCAGTTTTGGTAACAGAATTCACCTTTCTAAAGTCTGTACATAATCGGTACGAACCGTCCTGTTTTGGTACAAGAATACACGGTGAGCTCCAATCACTTCTACTAGGTTCAACAATGTCATTGTCCAACATGTACTGCACTTCCCTTCTTAGGTACTGCAATTTTATTGGATTCAGACGGTACGGATGTTGTTTGATAGGCAGAACGTCACTCACTATGACATCATGACAAGCTGCATTAGTTTTCTTTGGAACATCCGAAAAGATCTGATGATACTCATTCATCAAGTTTTTAACTTGTTCTTTTTGGTGAATGTTCAAATGTCCAAGTATGGCATCAAAATCAGCCAAAATTTCTGAGTTTTTCAAGCGGACAGCTCTGATTACAATCTTTCTCATTCATTTTCTACACTCGTATCACTTTCAAGACAATTTTGAACAATCTTAGTATTGGCTAAAGTGGAAACTGGTTTTACAGAATTTCGGTCACACCTTTCAAAATACTCTTTTAACATGTTAATGTGACAAACCCGTTTCTCTTTACGTCGACCTGGTATCTTAACTACATAGTTTACATCACTGATCTTGCTTTCAATTTCATAAGGGCCATAAAATCTGGCCTGTAAAGGATGACCAGGAATAGGTAAAAATACAAGAACCTTATCACCTGGCTTAAACACCCTATTTCTGGCATCTTTGTCATACCACATTTTCATTTTCATCTGAGAATTCTTCAAATTTTCTTGTGCTAATTTACAAGCATTGTAAAGTTTTTCTTTGAAATCAGACACATAATCTAAAAGATTAAGATCACTAGTCTCAGTCAGCCACTTTTCCTTCAACAATTTCAAAGGACCTCTAACTGTATGACCGAACACCAATTCAAAAGGACTAAACCCAAGAGACTCCTGGACTGCCTCTCGTGCAGCAAATAATACAAGATGAACCCCTTCATCCCAGTCTTCTCATACTGGTAACAATAGGTCTTCAGCATTGTTTTTAGGGTTTGATGAAAACGTTCTAGCGCCCCCTGGGACTCAGGATGATATGCAGTTGATCTATACTGTCTAATACACCAACTCATGCATGACTTGCTGGAACAACCCCGACATAAAATTTGAGCCTTGATCCGACTGAATTGCCTTGGGTGCTCCTACAAAACTGAAAAACTTGGTTAGGGCCTTAACTATGCTCTTTGCCTTTATATTCCTAAGAGGTATGGCTTTAGGAAATCGAGTGGATGTACACATAATGGTAAGTAAATATTGGTTCCCATATCTAGTCCTAGGCAAAGGTCCTACACAATCCACCAACACTCGACTAAACGGTTCTTCAAAAGCTGGAATTGGTTGGAGAGGAGCAGATGGTATCTTCTGATTTGGTTTACCTACCATCTGACAGACATGGTATGACTTGCAAAACTTCGAAACATCCTTTCTTAACTTAGGCCAATAAAAATGACTCAAAATCCTATTATAAGTCTTATTGATACCTAAATGACCAGCCATAGGTGTATCGTGAGCTAAACTCATGACATCTCGACGATAAGCAGCTGGGACCACTATCTGGTGAACAACACGCCACACTTCATCTGAGGAAGGTCAGGTGGTCGCCATTTTCGCATAAGGATGCCATCTTTCATATAGAAGCATTCTCCAACTTTAGTAGCCTCTTCTGGTGGAAGTGCCCTCTTACTAAGATGAATGATATCTGGGTCTTTATGTTGTTCAGAGAGTAAACGTTCTCGGCTGAGGATGTCCTTGCCTTGGCTAACTAGTGGATGCAACTCATCATCCTCACCACCAAATTTTGGTAAAAGTTCTTTCTTCTCTTGCTTCTTGATATGGTGTGGTTCCATGCTTGTTTGAGTGCCATCAAGGTCAGATAAGAAAGTGTCATTCAAATCAATATCAACAGAGGAATTCGTCTCGTCAAAGACTTGAGTATGGTCTGCCTCCATTTCTCGTCTTCTGGCCATCGCTCTAGTAACAGCACAGGCTGGATAAATGTCATCATCTTCATCATCGCACATGACATTGGAAGTGATTTTCTCACAAACTATAGGATCAGGTACAACCTTCCCACCAGCTAAATCGCTGCCTAACAACAAAGAAATGCCTGGAACGGGAAGAATAGGTCGAACACCTGCAGAAACAGGTCCAGTAACTAAATCTGACTTCAAACTAATTCATGCAGGGGAACATCAATGACGCCTAGCTCCACACCCTGTAATAAAACTGACCCACCAGTAGAAGTCTGCTCAGACAAAGGAAGCACGCCCTCTAGCAATAACGTCTGTGCAGCACCAGTATCTCTCAAATCTGGACAGGTCTTATTTCGCTAGAGTCACCGAGTGAAACCAATCCCTGAGACATAAAGGGCTTAGAATCCTCCATAGAATCAATAGAACTGGACTGTGAACCCTGGACATCAGGAGTGTCAGAACAAATCGAAACTAGGGCTTCTCTATCACCTCTAACTGCCGCACAAGCGTGTGGTTGAGTTTTATCAAAATCATTTTTTCTCTTAAGTTTAAAGCATTCACTGATCAGATGACCCTTTTTTCTTACAATAACTACAAGTAGGAAGCGACCCTATTTCAGACGATCCTTCAACACGTCCTGGACCGGACTTAAAACCACCTTGTGATGGAGACTGGAAACTTGTGGAAGACTGAGACCCTGAACCACTCTTTTTATATGTGTCTGAATTGGTAGAATTACTGCTAGTCTGAGATCTTGATACAAAATTCTTTTTATGAGACAGAGCATAAGTATCAGATATGACTGCTGCCTCTTCAAGAGTTTTCACATTCTTATCTTCTAAATGTGTTTTCAAATCTTGAGAAACACATTCCTTAAACTCTTCTACCAGGATGACTTGGCGCAAATTACAAAAGTTTTATCAAGTTTCTTACATCTAAACCAGTGATCGAATAAATCTTCTTTCTCTCGTGAAAATTCAACAAATGTTTGATTATCAAACTTCCTATACTTTCTGAATTTTTGTCTATATGCTTCAGGTACTAATTCATATGCTTTTAATATTGCTGCTTTGACCTTCTCATAGTCTGAACTTTCAGCTACCCCTAGTGCTGAGTATACCTCAGCTGCTTTGCCAACCAGTACACTTTGTAACATTGTTGACCAAACGTGTTGTGGCCATTTAAGATTCTCTTTTTTCGAATTGGGGAAAATATTTGTCTACAGATTTTTCTTGAAATTTCGGAACTAACCTAATATATTTTGCTGCGTCAAATAAATTCTTGACAAATGACGGTTCTGGTTGGTGCTGTAGTCTTAATTTCTCTAACTCAAAGTGCTCTTGTCTTTCTAATTTGTCTAATTCAAATTTTCGTTCACGCTCTCGTTCTTCTCTTTCTAATTTTTCTCTTTCAGATCGCATTTTCTCTAACTCTAATTGAAACTGATATTCTGCCATTTTATAAGAGCCTAACTCTGATTTAACTGTATATTCTGGAAGATCGTATTTTTCAAAGACGTTTTCTTCTACTAGTTTATTTGTTTGCAACCTTAATTCTAATGTCTTGCTTTCTCTGAGAGGATTTAACATCTAATCCAAAATGCAAACCTAATGCGATCAAGTCATCCTTTTTTAACGTATCAAAAACCTGAACACTTGGTGAACTAAGAAAGTCTGTGACCGAAAACACCATGTTGATTTCTGCTGGCTTATAATTAAATTTAACGGTTCAATAAACAGAATTCTGACAATAAACTGCAAAAGTGCAAGAAATTCTTTATCCTGGACGAGCCCCCAATTCTGTTATGGGTCAGAATAACCCTAAATGCCAGCAAAGATCAATAACACAATTTAAACTTAACAATAATTTATTTACAGTAATATATAATAAGTATATGAAACATAAAGTACAAACTTAGCAAGAATCTAAAAATACATACATCAGAGTGTCCGTTGCTGCACACAATGTCCCAGTGAAAATATATATCCCAGTTATTTTTAGACAGCAAAGCACCCCTTACAAACCATTGTTCTTTACCATTGGAAGACCAATAACAATAATTTCTACAAATTGATACTTAATATCCTAATGACCTTATTGACCTAACCTAATTAAGATATTACAAATAATTAATGTTTGGCGTACTTGTCATGGCCATTTATTCACAATTTTTTCAACAAAACAACAAAATATGCGCCGATCTTCAAATCGATATGGCAGCATATACACAAACAACTCAAAGCAGTAGAAACACCACCTTGACCGAAGGGACCTGGAAAAAACAGTGCCCCATGGAGGTGGCATTCTCTGCAAAATTCTGCCATTAATATAGTTTTTATACCATCACTACACAAAATTCTTTAAAGTCACTGGCGCATAAATTCTCTGTTCTATCTCGAGTCTTTGTTGATATGCATACGAACAATCATCTTATGGTCCATGACGCTGAAAATATAAATTTAAAACAGCAGCAGAAATTTTGTTCTACAAACATCAAAAACATTAAAATACCACTGAAGAGTAATAAGCTCATCAATTTATATACAATATTTTCACATCAATTAATTCTATAAAAATTCTTCTAGGGCCAAGCATTTCTGCAGAAGTTATAACTTGGAGAGGGTGGGAGGGTTCTTCAGTTAAAATTTTTGGTACCAGCAGCTTTGTTGTTCAACAGGAAAAGGAAGTTTACCTTGCGCATGCCCAGTTGTATAAATGTGACAAGTAAGAGTTGTCTATCTTTCTATAGTCAATAATTATGTGCTCAAAATAACCTAGTTTATCCAGAGGAGATAAACTTTATTATTTTTAGACAGCAAAGCACCCCTTACAAACCATTGTTCTTTACCATTGGAAGACCAATAACAATAATTTCTACAAATTGATACTTAATATCCTAATGACCTTATTGACCTAACCTAATTAAGATATTGCAAATAATTAATGTTTGGCGTACTTGTCATGGCCATTTATTCACAATTTTTTCAACAAAACAACAAAATATGCGCCGATCTTCAAATCGATATGGCAGCATATACACAAACAACTCAAAGCAGTAGAAACACCACCTTGACCCAAGGGACCTGGAAAAAAAACAGTGCCCCATGGAGGTGGCATTCTCTGCAAAATTCTGCCAAATGAACCACAAAACATATTTTTTGTGGGTCATCCGCCAACAAATCTAGGCGGTCAATTTTGCATTCATCAATACAAATACATGTACATATTTATCAATTTAACACTCAACCAGTAGTTGTATACAATTCAATTTTCAAATATGCAACTTCACAACTTCAAGGATTGGCCATGACAAGACTTAACAAGTACATGTGGGAGTAGTAGGATAAAATCTGTCAGTGGTTGACAAAAACAACCCCAGAGCATTTCTTAAAGAATTCACAAACAAGTCATTACCCAAGTCTGACAAGTGTACACCATCTTTGCGAAAAAGGGCTACATGTCTTTTTAAAATATCAGGATATTTAATGGAGGCCCCACACATTTTCTTAACAACAAAAGTAGCAAGTGCAGAATTGATTCTTCTCCAATTTTCTCCATCATTGTTAGAAAGACATAAGGTCCAATTACTTCGTGGTAAAATATGAGACCAAACAATAACTGTCTTTGGCATTAATTGTGAAATATTTACAATGGTAGATTTCATGTACATTTGTAAACCCTTCAAGGTATTATGCGGATTACCAATATCATTGCCACCACAGTGTATTACTAGGATTGTTGGTGGGTTATTATCTTTTAATTTCTTTTGGATAGTTGGATAAAGCTGTGACCAAACCATACCCCTTATTCCATGCCAAATTAACCTATGTGATTCAAATCCCAGGTTGTTAAGCATTCTCTGTTGAGCATATTTTTGAGCCCAAAATATCAAAGATGAACCAATGATCCATATGCAATCTGAAACGATTTTGAACAAAATAAATTTGCATCTAACTTATTAAGGGGATGAAGGATGTATGGTCACGTGACTCAGTTGATTTACGTCATAATCTCTGATAAAATATGTACAAAACGAGATTGAAACCACAGTACTTGTATAATTTTTTTGACTGTTTGTTTGCGTTCACCATCTAGTATAAAAAATACTGAAAACATTCAAAATTTCTTGCAATATTATCAAATTACGGAATAGATTAATCCACTCTGCCGTTTCCCTACTCTGCGCGTCCAGTGCGTCTTTGACGTCATAGTGGATCTCTTAGTTCAGTAAGATCATACACGGTAAAAACGGGTAGTGTAAAATCATAAAAACGGGCCATAATATGTACATGGTAGGGTATTTTGTAAATTTCAGAACGCAAAAAATATTTTTACATGGTTGTTGATGGAAAAGTTCTGTGGGTTTGTCTTATTTCGCTTATTTCAGGAATGTGTGACGTCATAGTTGGGTTTTCCCGTACTCGAGAAATGTAAACATGACACGTTTTTCTCATGATCATGACTCGTTTAACTTTGCCCCGTGCAATATTGAGCTCAGCTTCACCAATCGATATTTTTACAGTTAATCAATACAATGACGACCTTGAACTTCGACGTAAATTTTCAAATATTGAATGATAGGATTTTTTGCAAATTAATTTTCTTATGGTTTAAGTTGTCCTAAAAAAGTCGTAAATTTCCGTCTCCAGATGTAGTGTTACAAAAGAATCTTGCTTTTTCGAATTTTTAACCCTATTCATACTCTAAAATATTTTAAAAGACACATTTCCGCTGGTATATTTTTTATCTATGGTGAAAAATTTCAATTATCGACCGAGTAATGGACCCAGAAACACGGAGAAGAAAAACTCCGCTCAGACACTGTGGGGTATGGTATTTGTCACTCAATATCTCAGAAATAAGTCTAGAAACCTATTGATATGTCTGCTTTATAGTATGTAGGACATACTAAATAAGATATATACAAAATATGAAAAAAATTAAATGACAGGTATTTTTTCAGCTAAAGGTCCTTCATCCCCTTAAACAATTGGCCTTATATATGACTTGTAGGCAGCAGAACTCCATCTGCCAATGGTTTTGATTTCAGCTTCACTCATACCATTTAAATACAGATGTGTGGCCCCACCAATTCTAAAAGAATGAGATTTAAAAACCGATGTGTTTATATTCAAAAATGATAAACATTTATTGAGCATTGTAGAAAACTGATACTGAGTCAAAGGCTTGGAGTTGAAATGCACAAAAAATTTTGTAGTTGAAATTGTCTGACGCATTGCAAGAAATTTCTGCAGTATTGTAAACAAAATTAATGACTGGGCATGCTTTGGAACTTTAACTGCTGAACCCCTGTGCATTTGATCAGTCTTAGAACTTTTAATCAGTAGACTAACATGGTCTTGTAATAACTGAACACTATCAGATTGAAGGTCTACTACTTCACTGACTCTAAGCAATGCAAAAAATGCTACTGAATAGGCACATTGAAATAATGTTGCCTCGTATAAAGAATGTGCAACATATGGCAAGGTATTTATGATACGACCTAATAAGTGCAAGGTAATAGGCCTTCTAATATAATTATATACATGTCATATATAATTATATACATGTACCTTGATTTGAAAAAAAAACATTTTGATAGTTTTGTTTCGTTTCGTTTCGGCAGGTTTCGTTTTGATTTCGTTTCGTTTCGTCTTGATTTCGTTTCGTTTCGTGTCTGTAGATTTCGTTTCGTTTCGGCAGATTTCGTTTCGTTTCGTTTCTATTTCGTTTCGCACTTTACAGGTACCCTAAGTAGACATCTCGAATTAAAGTTTTTTATCTGTCTGTTTTAGAGATAACAAGTTTAGTTACTCGTATATATATTTTCAAAATGACTATTTTAAAAAATCGACAAAAGCTACAACAGTTTATAAAATCAAACAAAATTAAATACTAATAGGTTTAAATTATAAACAGTAAAAAGAGGTTTATTTATAAGACCCTAATTTTAATATATGTACCAACTGGCTGACATCCTCTTCCTTTGTCCACAGAGACTGCAAATTGTGTCTTCCATCTTTTTCCTGTTCCATGAGTAGTTACCATCAGCAACGCCGACGAAAGGGAAGAGTAGCAACAACGATTTTAGCATGTTTATGGATAGCTTTAAATAAGTGCACAGAAATCAAGTGTTGT